CGTTTAAGCACCAAAAATTTTCTGCTTGGAAGGAACATTTCTTGAAGATGCTGGACCAGAACATCGCTTCAGACACCGCCCGTTCCATGGAGCCGGTTGAAGCCGCCCGTTCATCCATGGAAGCTGGACCTGGAGATGCTTCCGATCCCAGGGGGGTGTCGAAACACTACGCCTTCGAAAAAGGTTCTTCGGTGGCGTTGGATATTGAGGTCACTGACGCGTGGGAAAGCGCGAAGACGGTGCTGGAAACACTGGACAGGTGACTTGGGGAGTAGGGCTAAGACTAAGACTAACATGAAACTAACTAAGTTGGGGATGGCATCTTATTTGGGTAAATCTCACTGTGAAACGGGCGTTCCAAGGTTGTATTAAACATTTGACATAATTACATCAATCAAGGGATACTTGAAGTTGGGCCATACTGCCAAACGGGCGTTCCTAGGATATGTTAAAACCCAGCTCGCTCATAGTAACTAAAAATACATCAATCAAGTATATATTATGGGACCATACTGCGAAATGTAAGTTGCTGGGTTGACAGGTGAATTTACATTGTAAATTAAATACATCGATAGGGCCATACTTACTGCGAAACGGACGTTCCTTGGGTTTTATGATGGTTATTGGTCAAATACACTGGGTCCATACTGCGAAACAGACGTTCCTAGGTATTACAATAAATAAAAAATAACATTAATTAATAACTAATTTTAATTTGTTTATATAATATATATATATATTATAATTTAACTTAGTCATTATAAATTAATTAACTAAGAAACAAAAATATTAATAATGATAATAATAATAATAGGGATAGGTTTATTGGACCATACTTCCCTTTCTCAATGCTGAGACCAGCACAGCGCTCCCTCTACTTTCTGGCGATGTTGGACATCAAGAAGTTCAAGTCTGTCATGCATCTGGCCCAGTATTTTTTTTGACAAGTAATTATGATGTCAATGATGTCAAACATTTCTTAGTTTGAATAATCAGGTACGTTGGAAATACTCATGTCGTCTTAGTCTGGAAGTCTGGGCTTTGCAAGAGTCATTCCAATTAGAAAACCATTTGGCACCAGCTGAGGCTCCAGTATCAGAACCGACAGCAGCCCTTGGATAATCCCTCTGGCTGGTTTAATGCGATCGCTCGCCGCCTGATCGATGATATGAACGTAGAGGCCGGGTACCCGGACTACTCTGGCCAGACGTTCCACACTTAGTTTCAGATTCTACGGCCGTTCTGACTCACTGACAAGGGTTTTTTATGTTTTAGACGACTGTCGTTTAATTTTATCGTCATGATGTTTTTTAGCTTGATGCATTTTTACATTATTGTGTTGGTTTGGTCGTTCATCCGGCTAAGTCACCGCGGCGGCTACCATGGCCGGGAGCATCATGACAGACGTTAAGAAATGAGTGACAACGTCCGTTCATCGTGTCAACTAATTTTGCCCCCAGTCAATGAGCTGACGGCCGTGACACGGTGAGACTTCCAAGTCGGACAGGTCAACTCCTTCTTCCGTGTGAAAAAAGATTGAGAGTGTGGCTGACGGCCGTCAAACAAACGAAGTTAAACGAAACCTTGCGTCAAAATAGTCATTCCTGTTTGCATGGCACTGGAATCGTTGACGATCATATTACCGTTTAAAGTTTGAACTTAGTTTGAACCTGGTGAAACTATACAGTTGCAATTCACTCCATTGGCCATCAAATACGATGCACGAAACCTTGCATCAAATAGTCATTCAAGTTTGCATGGCATTGGAATCGTTGACAGTCATGTTACTGTTCGAACCTGATGAAACTAAATTTCAAATGGCTGGTCTAATTTTAATTCATTCACATTTGCCAGCAATGGCAACTACGATGTTAAACGGAACCTCATGTGTCAAATTAATAGTCATTCACACATGGCAATGGAATCGTTGACAATCATGTGAGACTAAATTGGAAAATGACACGGCTAATTTCACCCCCGACCGTCACAGTAATCTTGAACAATGAACAATATGAATAAATCTTCCTTGGGGAATCAGGGGTTACCTTAACTTTAGGTGACCCTTTATAGTGAAAAAATGGGCGATCGCCAGCCCCCCCTCCACTGTGGCACCTCTAAAAAATCAAAAAACCAGCCATGTCAATGATTGACCATCTATAAAATCAAAAATTGAAAAAAAGTAAACAACCACTAACCACTAATGTGTATAAAATCAGGGTCATCAGATAGCTTTGGACAGCCTTTTAAGGCGAAATAACACATCTAGAAAATCTAAACTCTGGTGACACCCACTTTGAGGGCACCGTTTCCGAACGTTTGGATTCCAATAGTGTCATTTTTCTTCTCCGCAGTTCATAAGCAAAACAAACCAACATGCACTGGTCAAATGCTTTCACTGCTATCATTATAAGATCAAAAACATCAATCCGGATTTTAAGGACTATAATATCAAAATGGCCTCCCCCTTTGAAACATGTCCATTTCCAACATATGAATCACTATAAAATCAAACTTGAGGGGGTCCTCTGTCTGTATTTGTGGCAGTGTATAAAATCAAAAAGTCAGGAACCAATGTTTTGTGTTAACAACCTATTTACAGAAAAAAAACAGTTTATACAGACCCCTATGCCCTCGAGTTTATAGAAGATTCCCGAAGGGGGATTAATGTCAACGTTGACACTGTGACATAGTGTTGAAAATCTCAACGCCCGTCACTTCAAAACTGAGTGCCTACCGGTCGTTCGCATAGCGATTCGTTCTGGCCTTCCACCGGTGGTGGTGACAAGGATGATGGGCATGGCACTGGCTCTGAGGTGGAAGGGGATGGTGCTGAGCTGAGAACGGCCGTTCCAGACACAGTTGGGGTCTGATGTCAATGACGAGGACACTCAGCTTGCGGATGATTTCATGGCGGAAAAGACGTCCGTTCCAACCCTATGAAGCGCCAGCGGCTTCTGCTATCTCAAAGGCTTCCGCTACCCCAACAATGACAACGGCCGTTGGTGATGATAAGCCAGATGACTCTGACCACCCGCCGACTCCCAAGACGACGAAGAAAACGGCCGTCAAGAGGAAACCAGCAGCGAAAAGTTCTGGGCCAGGCTGCAGTGACCACTGCGTTCTGTAGTTTGATGTGTTAGTCTCATTAATTGAACTCAGCAAGGCTCTTAATTTTCATGTCACATTGCTGGGTTTGTTTTCAGGGTTTACTCTGATGATGTGCATGCGTTGTCAGCTATCATGATGGATATTGTTCTTAAAATTGCGTACCAACTGATTATTTTCTTTTGGCCTTCAATGTCATTATGTCATGTTATTCTGAGTTAACTGTTCTTTGGTTACTGTCGTCACTGTGGGTCCATGATTCTATGAAATATTTATCCCTGTACTGAGTTCACCGGGTCAGGTTGGCACATGTGATTTTCAAGTAAAAAATGTCGGTTTAAT